TTCAACCCACTGCATTCTTGAGCCGCTCATGCTAACATTAGACCACTGTGTTGAGAGTCTGCCTACAGGAAGCAGTGGTCACAAGAGGCATTGCACATATAAGAATGTTTTCAGTCAACACCTCAGTCTATCCAAGCATTGACTCGCATCTCCTCCCACCATGTAAAGGGCACACAGACCCAATTGGCGCTGGGCCAGGTTGAGGAGCACCATTCCTCATTATGTTCCCTTTCCTCTTTAGGGCTTACAAACTGACAAAATTATGGCCTCTCTTCAAGATGCTAAAGGGATTCTGGTTTCTATTTACCTTGTCCAACAAGGTATTCACACTGGCCACATCCCATCTATGCAGTTTCCCTAAGTCCTGCTTCCCAGAGGCAGTAGGACACAGTAGGGAGCCCTACTGGCAGCTACACATGGAGCAACTGTGTTCAGATTTGGCTAGATACAGATGCCAATTCCTTTGCCAACAGATGAATTAAGGGCAAAGGACAAAGGATCTCACTGCATTGTCACATACTGTCTGGAATTTTGTGAGGTTCCTGGGATGAGGAGACTACATGATCTTCCTTGTGGTGCCTGATAGGCAGTTGATGCTCAACAGATACTTATAATATTTATAATCATTGCATTTAATGTTTTTGTTATCTGCGTCTATGAAGTCTCCAATAAAATGTTTTCCCGTGGAGAAAATACACAAGTTGCTGATGAAAATAAAAGTCCCTGTACCAGATACTTAACTCTAGGTGTAGAGATGCCTGGCTCTCTGTTAGGCTAACTCATCTTTTAACTTTAAGGAAGGAAAAAAAAATCATCACAAACAACACTCTTGTACAACACTAATGAAAAATACTTTTAAAGCTAGGGAAATTTTGGAAGAGTCACTTAAGTTTTCTTCTTAGCACCAATCCCAACACCCATCAAAAATTAGATTAACCTTAAAGAATAAAAACAGCAGCCTTCTTCTTCTTCTTCTTTTCTTTTTTTCTTTTAAGGAGAAAAGGAAATTGTGCCTGCTTTAAAAAATCTCACTTTTGAATTAAAAAAATAAATTCACTTTTGAAAACTTGACTCATGACTTTTCTTTGGGTCAGGCCTGGTTCTAATGCTATACTAATAGGAATCAAGGGATTTTAATACTTTCTATATAAATGCTGTTCAGGTTTACAACCTCCTAGACTTTCGGTTGCTGCTGTGAACAAAATTAGGCCAGAAAAGGGAACATTTTGCAGATAGCTTGGGGAGAAATCGATGCAGCTGCAGACACCCTTGACCCCTGTGTATGCCTGCTATCCAGGCCAATTTCTTACCTTGCTTGTCACTATGTTGTTACACAGACCGCAAGCTGGAGTCCTGCACAGAATGTAACCCAGGAAACCTGGCCAACTGAAGAAATAACTCTCAAGTTGGAACAAGTAAGTGATTTTCCTTCTCTCAGGTTATTTCTCCTTATTTTTGCTTCTACCAGGGCAGTTTAAGACAATCACACTGTTAAAAGCGGAGGGAATTCAATAGTCCTCTGTTTTCACTGCAGGATGTTTAATAAAAACTTGGAGTGAACCTCTGCCCCTCATTGTATCAGAACTTTCTGAATTTTCTGAGTAGAATTTCTTGTACTCTCACCCTTACAGGAAACTTTCCAAACCATTCTCTGCAGATAGAGTGAAAGATGAGGAGAGAGGCCTGGGGCAATGACAGGCCGCCAGCTAAATGAATGTTGTTCACTTACTGTTTCTGAGTAATTCATTCTGGACTCTTGCTCCCTGAGTGCCTGCAGAAGGCAGTGGTCACAGGACAGACCTTTTGGGGCACTCAACATAAAATAAGTTTATGAATTTTATTTTAGAAAGCTCAGAGAAAGTCTCTTAATATGGCAAACTCCAACATTAAAAAAAAGATAAATGAAAAACTAAATAATAAAAATGGGAACAGTTCTATTAAGGCAGTGCCCACCCTCACCCTTGCCTGTAAGCTTTTCATGTGGTTGTCAGTGACTCAGTAAGTGCCCCACCTTTGGGCCTTGGTTACTGTCACTTCACCAGGTTCCATGATCACCTAAGACAATTCCTTCCAAACTGAGAGCTGAAGCTGTCAGCTGATGCTCAAGGGTCTCTGAACAGCTGGAGCTCTACAGGGGCCACTTATGCTTGCTTCAGCAAGAGAACAGCACACCACTTCCTTTGAGCAGCATGGGGTTGGAGGGATGGATCTACAGTGGCAACAGCAGCAATGAAGAGAGGTCAGTTTTGCATCTAAAACAGAAATGCCCCTAGATGTTTCAGGATATAACTGGAAAACTCGATTGCACCTGCCTTAGTTTTGTACAGTGGGGTGTCTTGGAAAATACCCACTCTGAGTAGTTCAGGTCAAAATGGAGTTAAAAGGATGCATGGGAGAGCTGGGTCTCCTATAATATTAACCCACATGATTTCCATAGTATACATCCATTTTTCCACAGCCACATTCTACTTTTCTTTTTCTTTATGGTACTAGGGATTGAATCCAGGGGCATTCTACCACTGAGCTACATCTCCAGACCTTTTTATTTTTTATTTTGAGACAGGGTTTTGCTAAGTTTCTTAGGCTGAACTTGAATTTGCAATTCTCCTGCTTCAGCCTCCTGAATCACTGGGATTATAGGCCTATGCCACCATGCCTGGTTCCACATTCTATTTTCTTTCTATAATGTATTTTTGGGTTATAGTCTTGTTGGGTGATGGGGAAAACTTCTGAGCCAAAGCGAGATGCTTTTATTCATCGGAAGCACTTGTGTTACTAATGGAAAATAGTTTATGTATGTGATCTTGAGTCTGGAACTTTCTCCCCAGTTCCCAGTTGATCAGGTAGCTACAATCATAAGAGAGGGCACATCACTAACTCAAGTTTTTGAACATTTTATTAAGCTCAGAAAGTCAGCATTTCTGTGAGAGACACTCTACTGGGAACTCAGCCCTGCTTTTCCTATGCTAGATAAAGACCCACCCTTTTAACTTATTGGATTTCATTATCTGCATAACTTTTTACTTTTTGCTCATCTAGCATTTCAATTAACCTGCTATTTGGTCAAATGTGTTGTCTGACTGAACTGACAACTTTTTATACCAATGTGGATTTTTATCTGGTAATATTGTATCCTTGTCTCTTGATAAGAGTATATTTATCAGAATAGGTATTCTTGATTTGTGTGCTAACCAGGAGCAGAAATTGATCAAGGATATCATTAAAAGTCACTGGAAAGACAAATTGGTAAGTACACTGCATTTTTCAAAGATTTAAATCGTGGTAGAGATATTAAATTTTATGATTAAAAGTAAAGTTTTTCTGTTTTTTTTATCCAATCATTATGGCAAATTCAGATATTTTTCATGTAATATTTGAATACATAAACCTAAATTCAACATTTTCTTGCCTCTGAATCTTTTCTTACTTTACCTCACACAGTAAAAGGTATTTTAGTCCTATCTTAAAATAAACAATTATAGTAGTAATATGTGTACAATCACCTTTAAGATTAAAAACAGATTAATATTAGCTTGTCACCCCCTCTTCAAAGCTGTTTTCCATCTTGATGGTGGTAATCCAAGGTAAGGTGCAGAAACAATACAGATAGTTTGATCTCTATATATTACATTTCCAAGTCACTGGGATACATATTTTCCATGGGCTTCAAATAGCAACAAATTAGCACAATGCAAATACTTGTGTGTCATACTGACTTTGGGTATTCTTTGTCAAAATATACTAACCATTTTGAAATTATTGTGTGTTTAGGCAACTTGTGTTATCTAGAGGGCTGGAATTATCCTAAGAAAGCTTTTATGATAACGTACTATTTTAAAAATCATCTACCAATGCCTTTTGTCTTGCAAACTCTGTGACAATTCTGCTAATAATTTTCACCATTTGTTCTTTCCACCTCTAATCTTTTTCAGTTCCCTCCATTACATCTTACTGATCTGTCACATAGAAACAGCTTCCTCAGCAGAAAAACATCAGTAAAAAAAATCAAGAAGGGCCATTATGAATTCCACTCCTTTTTGTTGTTGATTTTTCTTTTTTTAAAGGCACACCCTTGACTTTTATTGTTGTTAACCCAAATTAGATTCTAAGTTTCAGGCAGTAAGCCAGTTATTAAAAAGAAGTTGATACTTTAAAATCAATGACTTATTGGTTTTGGTTCCCTATCAATTGATGAATTGGATGTTTTCTCCCTCATGTGATTATTCTATTCAATCAACTAAAAAAATAAATCCCCTTTTAATTATTACCTGCCTGTTCTCTGCATGCAGCATGGTAGTACAACTGACAATGAGGTGTTCTGGCATCAGATTTCTTTTCCAGTTGGTCAGGGGGTCCCTTTTCTCTTTTCCTCATTTCTGAACTGTGGAACAGGAAGTATTAAAGCATTGGCCCAAGACAATGTTGTCACATCAGGAGTGGCACAGATGTTTACTAGGATCTTGATCCTCTCAGCTGAGTGTCTCAGAAGCATATCCTGATGCCTTGGGATTGATGTTGAAACCTAATGTAAGAAAAAGACTTGGGGAAGTCCCACACTGGGCTCTCCTCCTGCCTCTCCCACTAAAGATTAAACAACACTGTTGGAACAATTTGAGATGTTTCCTTGACACAAAACTACACTCCTGAGTTTGTTTTCCTGTAAGTGATCCTGGGGTGGCCAGAGGGGGATCTTGATCTTGACGAATGATGATCATCCTACAGTATTTGGATACAGTGGTGTGGCATGAGTTTTAACAAATAGAATTAGGCTCTGAAAGAATTTTCTCATCGAAAACTCAATATTTCAAAATGCATTTAAAGTTACTTCTGGGAAATATACCAAATAAGTCAATCATTGAATCAGCTAATTGTCAAACCCTATAAAATTTTGGAATCATGTCACCTGACATGAAGCAACATCAAAATTAGTGCACCATCTATAAAATTAACTGTCATTTGCCATCAAGTGACAAGTTCTACGCCAAAAAATACCACTGCACTTCTAATAAGTGACACTCATTTTAATAGACCCTACAAAAATACAATATTTTCAGTGTCCCCATAAAACAGTTAACTTACAAATATTATTCTCAGAGCTCTCATGACATCAATATGTAATTCTATTGTAAAATCCCAATAGAATATACTTGAATCGATAGCATGTGAAGTAAATTCATTATATATCTATAAAGAGCTATGTAGAAATATGAGAGAGAACACATATAACCAATTCTTGGAAATTATTCTAAATTTTAAAATTCATATTTTAATCAAATTAATAATTAACAAAAATAAATATTATAAAGGATTATAAGATGACTTTTGATCTTATAGAGGAAAACAGTTCCAATGTAAAAGTAAATAATTCTATATTAACTATTCTTATATTACTCTCTAGAGAGAGCATATTCATAATTTAATATACCTTGATACATTCTTTGGGGAAAAAAGTATTTTATCTATTTCTGTCCACAAACAGCATTAAAATTAATACAGGTAGACCACAGCTCTGAGAAATTATATTTGAAGTTTCATATTTAATGCCAAAGTTTTAAAATCACCCAACATTAACTTTCTAACAAGTCTTTCTTAATGATAAATTTTATCAATTCCCCAAACTCATTTTAAATGATTTAAAAGTAGCAAATTAAAATAAAGCAGCACACAAATAAATTCCACATTTACAAGTAAAGAAATCACAGGGGCTACAGTTTATAATCAACATAAACTGGAAAGAAAGAAATCAATACCTTTCCTGCCACCCATCATTCACTGCTTAAATTTGTGGTGAAAAAGACTTATCTATAATGACCTTTAGTCTGTTTTTTAACTCTGCATGTATTGTAGTTAGCTAAAGGCATTGAACAAATTAGTTTTTCCTATTTTTATTCAGGTCCCAGTGATAAATGGAGAATTTATGAAATATTTCACTCTGTGTTATGAGAATTTAGTAAATGAATATGGAACCAAATATAAACACTTTATACCATATGTACAGTTACTTTCATAAGGCATTATCATGAATTTTTATTGAAAAAGATTCAATATAGTAAAGTCTTATTTTAAGATATATTTCTTTCTCAATCCGAGATGTTTAGTTTATGAAAATATTGTTTTTCTCTATATTCTTTTTGTATATATGCCAACATATACCTTGTGCTAGAAATATTTTATGGGAATTATAATTCTTTATGTTCGTATTTTCTATATAAAGGCATATACAACTTTGAGGCAGTGTTTCTGATGGAGAGCAGAATTCATAAAGAGCTGTGTGTGCTTCCGTGCTCCGAAATTATATGAAATCCACTTTGAGAAGAAACTTATTTGATTAAAAAAACAAAAAGAAAAACAAAACTGCACCAATGCACAGCCAGAGGCTGACAGTTAGAACTAATACATAACCACATGAACATCATATTTGTAGAGTTAACATTTTTAAGGATGATCAGTGCTAACATATAGTATTATACATTTGGCACTAATGTTTGCCATTGGTCCAGCAATTGGCAAAATTTGTTTCTATGTATAAATTTCTTTTTGAACATTAGGTCTGGCTAGACATATCTTCACTATTTATAGAAAATATTTAGACAGTAAGCTCACGTTGAATAACTAGGTCTACTGTGTTCTGGAAACTCTTCAGTAGTAATACAGCTTTTTCATGTTCCATATGTACAAAACTGTGTCCATTTGCCTGCAAATGCAAAATAAAACAAGACAATCAATGCAAAATATTTGCTTATCATTGTATCATTGTTTCTAATCATATGATCCAAGGGAACACTGAGCAACAAAAAGATACCAGTTTTAAAATTCACAGTGAAATAGCATCTATGGAAGTAACTTTATCCAATTTATCCAGACTTAATCCAATTTATTAATTCCACTAGTATTTATCCAATCTCTAGTATGTCTTTGCCACTGTGTTGATCATAAAGATACACTGCTGTCCAGTGCGATGGTGCCCATCTGTAATCCCAGTGGTTCAGGAGGCTGAGATAGCAGGATCACGAGTTCAAAGCTAGCCTCAGCAAAAGTGAGGTGCTAAGCAACTCAGTGAAACCCTGTCTCTAAATAAAATACAAAAAAATGGGCATGGGATGTGGCTCAGTGGTTAAAATGCCCCTGAGTTTAATCCCTGGTAAGAAAGGAAGGAAGGAAGGAAGGAAGGAAGGAAGCAAGGAAGGAAGGAAGATATATTAGTGAAAAACAGGTTTGTGGTATAGTAGTTCAGTCTGGCTGTTGTTCTAGAATTGTTTACAGAGTAGCCTAGTTGAGATGGATTGGGAGTATGCACATGGCCATTGCCTATTGGTTGACTTTTTCAATATTCAGTGGACTGACACTTATTTTTGGCATACAGTGCCTTTGTTATTTTACTTACTCTTTTTATGCTTTTTAAAAACATGATTAATATTACAAATAACCAATCACTTAAATGTTTCACTGCCTTTAGTTTTTTTTTTTTTGAGAGAGAGAGAGAGAGAGAGTTTTTTAATATTTATTTTTTAATATTTATTTTTTAGTTTTCGGTGGACACAACATCTTTATTTTTTTAAATTTTTATATGGTGCTGAGGATCGAACCCAGTGCCCCGCGAATGCCAGGCGAACACACTACTGCTTGAGCCACACCCCCAGCCCCTGCCTTTAGTTTTTTAAATTTCAAACAGCATTACATCTCCAGCAAACTGTATAGTCTTCATAATTTAGAGGAAAGTCATCTGATACATAATACTTTTTCAGTAGTTTTTAAAATTGACTAGACAATGATGTGATAAAGAAAGTTCTAAAATGTTGCATGTTTTAAACTACATTATGTCTAAACAGTAAGGAAAATACTAGGAAACAAAATGTAAACCCTTGGAAATTCATATAGCATAAATTTGTTTTGCATTAGCAAAACCCTAGGCATTGTTTAATAATTTAATGAAAATGTTAATGAAGTGGGCATTAGCTGTTTCCAGTGGCACAAGACAGTAACTGAGTAGAATTTGGGGTATGTTACACAGTTCAAATTTCTTGATTTAAATTATATAAAAATCAGAATGAAGTTTCATTTCATATTATTTGTGGTTAGATGGTAACAGCGAATAGAAAACAGAGCTAATGGTACATTCTTCTTTCTACTCTTATCCTGTTTCTGACATCAGAAAAATAGCAAACTTGCATGAAATATATACACATATATATTAAACTAATTTTTATTAAAGCATTATAGTTATATATAATATAGTTTGGTTCATTTTGAAAAAAAATCAGACTAAAGTATAGCTGTAACGGGTACACTAACTTAGTGTCTTTAAATTTCCCCAAATGTATACTTAATTGTGAAATTAAAATTTAACTTTACTAATGAAGTTCTTGTATGTTAAAACTTAATAATACACTTGTGAAGGCTCTGATTCCTCTACCTGCAGCCCCAAACCTAGAACAACAATGAATTAAAAACCCACTGAGAGTTTTCAGAGAATTGCTTGAAATTTAAATATCTCAGAGTTTCAGAGATGAGAAATTTGCTAGGATTTGGAAGCCATGGTATTTGCCTCAGCCTTAGACCTGATATAATATCAATGCTAAAAATAGACAATAGTATTAGCATTAAGGGCATGAGTGGTGCAAAACTTAGCCAATTAATCATAGTTATTAATTGTGAACTATTCTTTTTTTAGTACCGGGGAGTGAACCCACAGGCACTTGACCACTGAGTCATATCCCAGCCCTATTTTTATTTTTATTTTTTTAATTTAGAGACAGGGTCTCACTGAGTTGCTTAGCACCTCACCATTGCTGAGGCTGGCCTTGAACTCGTGATTCTCCTGTCTCAACCTCCCAAGCCCCTGGGATTACAGGCGTGTGCCATCATGTCCATCTAACTTTGAACTATTCCTTTATTGAAAGATCTTCAAAGAAATTTGGTCCACTTTGAGTATGATTATTTTTTCAACAAAAAGTGTCTGCTGTGTGCTGACTGTCCAAGGTATTACAGTAGACTCTGGGCAGAAACTCAGGAACAGATGAACATGGAGGTTCCTAGGTAAAGGGAGGCTGTCCAGCAGGGGAAGCAAGCCATAGGCACAACTGAAAATATTATACAAGATGCCTTTTTAAATGAAAGGCCTACCCTAGACACTAAGCCACTTGTCTGAAGCCACATAGCTCAGAGAGTGGGTTAGGAATTCATACTTTTATGCTCTAATTTTTATTCCTTCTTATTATTTCTCCCAATAATTCACCAAAATAATAAGACCATGGTCATTTCATATGATCTGAACTGACAATTCACTTGCCATGAAAAATGTTCAATATTTCCTCCTTCAGCATTGTGGCTCCATCTTCTCCTGGAATTCTGTGCTTTATTGTGGTTGCAAAGCTACTATTCTCATTCTGATTCTTATCAGGTGTAATTTCACTTATTCCAAAAAGACTGATAGAGATAACCTTTAGTCCTGAATTGAAAGCTACAGAAATGCTGAATCTCTCCTTCTTGTAGTTTCATCTCTGGCTTAATTGGGTTGTGGTGGCCATATGGGAGCTTTCTTTTCTGAATGTCAAGAACCAAGTCTGAATGTCTGCTGGGGCAATGCCAAAAAACTTGTGAGAGAACAGATTAGAAGGAAGAAAACTTCTAATAAGAAGAATCTACAATTTTGCTCCTGATTAGACAAGGGTATAAGAAACAAATAAGAATCAAACTGTGATGCTAGTAACTGAAAATAGAAACCTTGGAGAAACGAGGATAAGAGGACAAGTGGAGTTTTCTGGCAATAGAGACAAGGGAACTACTGATCATCCATTTGGAAACAGGAGAGTGGAGTCCAGGAAGCAGGTCAGAGTGGTCCCAGTAACACCAGAGGTGAGGTTTTATAGCAGGATGATCCCACGTGAAACACTGAGATTTACCAGAAAAATCCAACTGCAGGAACAGGATGGAGTTCAAGTTTTGGAAATATAGAACAGAAATAGATGACAGTGTTTGCTGCTAATGGGGATATCTATGTAAATCTGCTTGAAGTGAGGTAGAAAAGGGGACAGGGCCTGTTACTTTCTATCAGAGGGTGGCAGAAGCTGGCTTTAGCCTGAGAACCAAATTAAAGAGCAGAGAAAACCCTCATGATAGCCACACACTGAGCCCAGAGGCCAGGAAACCCTGAGTTCCTAAGAGACCCAAGCATGAGGAGACCTGGGAAGGGTCATCCTGAAGAGGGACCAAGTAGGATGCTCATAGAGGAATAGAAAATCCAAGAGAACCAAACATTTTCTAGTGCCACCAGTTAGCACAATTTTCCACAGCACAGACAAATAAGCAGAGAAAAGCTGAATTAATTCTGGGCTCAACTCCGTTCTGGTTCTGATAAACCAAACTTCACGATGTTGAGAACCACAATCCAGGCTGACTCGGGGACAACAGACCCCCTTCATAACTTAGCTCTGAGAACAGCTTGAAAGCACCAGCTTTTGGCTTTTGCACTTACTACATACAAACTAGAGTCAGAGCCCCGAAAACACATAAATAGAGCCGACCACCCAGAAGGCAAGAAGCACGTTGGTGAATTAGATCCCCAGTCAAATGAACACTAGGGTGCTCTCTGTAATTCCAGTCCCCAGACATGTTTTGATTTAAAATTAGAGGGTTGGTGAACCTCAAGAGTCCTGTTTAAAAGAGTACAACCAGGGACTGTCTGGGAATGGCTCCAAAATACCAGAAGACTCTGAGTTAGTTTAGAAAGTTTACAAAAGATCAAATGAGTTAATATATGTCAAGTGCTTAGGATGGGGCCTGGCACATATAAGCAATCAAGAAAAGCTAATACTATTAAAGTTACTACACTACCACTACCTAGAGTTTAAAAAAATAAGACTTTTATTAAGCCATAAGAACAGAAGTTGAAAATATCAGAAGAACTATATTTTTCTTTTTTTTTTTTTTTTTGCTTAGATAAAAACCCTAATTTTTTGATAGATGCAAATGTTAGGATCAGAATGATCACAGGAAACATCCAAGATAACAGCAGGTGGCTAGGTGGGAATTTATGACACAGTTGTCAACTCTCTGGATCTTGGTACAATTTGTTTCTTTGGATGTTGCAAGGTTGCAATTCTTATTGTAGGTTTGTTAAATAAATTCACTATTTTTTAATGCTTTTTTTTTAGTTGTTGATGGACCTTTATTTTATTCATTTATTTACACGCGATGCTGAGGATCAAACCCACTGCACATGCTAGGCAAACGCTCTACCACTAAGCCAATACCAACCCCAGCCCAATAAATTCACTTTTTAGTAGTAATTTAACTATTTCTTGATAAGCAGCATTGTGTTATGCCTGTTTCCAGGGACAGCAATGACAGAAGAGCCTGGAAAAAGGGTTTGAGTGGAAGAGATGACAGAACCTTAGCTCTAGAGAATCTACTTCTTTCATCTGTAGGACAAAAAAGCAAAAAGAACTTATATTTGTTACTATGAAAATGGCTATCTGGTTTATGTCTTGAATAGTTCAGACAGGAATCAAAGGATCATGTCACTGTATTTGTAGGGCTTTTCCAAATAAAATTAAGAAAAAAATATTTTTTTCATTACTGTGGATTGAACCCGGGATGACCTACCATTGAGGTACATCCCAGTTTTTAAAATTATTTTATTTTGACACTACGTCTCACTAAGTTGCTCAGGTTGATCTTGAACTTGAGATCCTC